TTCCCGTTCCCGTTCCCGTTCCCGTTCCCGATCCCGTTGGGGCCGGCTTGGGGCTGCCCGGCCGGCTCCGAGCTCGGTCCCTGCCCGCAGCTGGAAAAGGTTTCTGGGCCGAGCTGCTCGGGGTCGGAGATTTCTACTACGAGCTGGGGGTGCAGATCATCGAGGTGTGCCTGGCGCTGCGGCACCGCAACGGAGGTGGGACCCGGCCCGGCGCGGGATCCGGCACTGATCCATGGATCCGGCATCCCTGACTGGGGATCCATCATCCCTGACCCGGGGATCCGGCACTGATCCATGGATCCATCCCTGACTGGGGATCCATCATCCCTGACCCGGGGATCCGGCACTGATCCGGGGATCCGGCACTGATCCATGCATCCAGCATCCCTGATCCATGGATCCATCATCCCTGATCCGGGGATCTGGCATTGATCCATGGATCTGTCATCCCTGATCCATGGATCCATCCCTGATTGGGGACATCGCCCGGCATGGGATCTGTCCCTGATGCAGGGATCTTGTCACTGATCCAGGGATCCGTCATTCCTGATCCATGGATCCATCATTGATCCGGGGATCCGTCATTGATCCACGGATCCATCCCTGATTGGGGACATGGCCTTGGTGTGGGATCCATCATTGATCCGGGGATCTGTCATTGATCCATGGATCCATCCCTGATTGGGGACACGGCTCTGGCACGGGCAATCCATCGTCCCTGATTGAGGGATCCATCATCCCTGATCCATGGATCCATCCCTGACTGGGGACACGGCCCTGGCATGGGGATCCATCCCTGATCCACAGATCTGGTCCTGGCACAGGGATCCACTGCTCCGGGGATCCATCCCTAACCCAGGGATCCACTCATGATCCAGGGATCCCTAATCCCCCCATAAAATCCTGTAAAAATCCCATAAAATCCCATAAAGCCCCAGGAAAGCCGCTGGCTGGGAGGGCGGGGCTGGGAATTCCCGGGAATTCCGGGGGATTCCCAGGACAGTCGGGTTCCCTGCAGGGCTGATCACGCTGGAGGAGCTGCAGCAGCAGGTGCTGAAGGGCCGCGGGAAGTTCGCGCAGGACGTCAGCGCGTGAGTGCGGCGGATCGGGAATTCCCCGGGAATCCCTCGGGAATTCCCCGGGAATCCATTGGGAATCCATTGGGAATCCCTCGGGATTGCGGGGCTGGGATCGGGAATACCCGGGGAATCCCTCAGGATTGTGCGGTTGGGATTGGGAATCCCCCAGGAATCCCTCAGAATTTCAGGATCGGAAATCCCTGGAGAATCCCCCAGGAATCCCTTGGGATTGTGGGACTGGGATCGGGAATTCTCTGGGAAGCCCTCGGGAATCCCTTTGGAATTCCTTGGGATTGCGGGGCTGGGATTGGGAATCCCTTGGGAATCCCTCAGGATTGCGGGTCTGGGATCGGGAATTCCCCGGGAATCCATCAGGAATCCCTCGGGATTGCGGGGTCGGGATCGGGAATCCCTCGGGAATCCCTCGAGATCCAGGGCCACAGATTCCTGCTGCTGCTCCTGCTTTCCCTCAGGAATTGCTTCCCAAGACAATTTTTTCCCTAAAAATCCAACCCTGGGAGGACTTTTCCCTAAAAACCCAACACTTTTAAGGATTTTTCCCTACAAATCCAACCCCTGGAAGGATTTTTCCCCCTAAAAATCCAACCCAGGATGATTTTTCCCTAAAATCCAACCCCCTGAGGATTTTTCCCTACAAATCCAACCCCACAAGGATTTTTCCCTACAAATCCAACCCCATGAGGATTTTTCCCTAAAACCCAACCCCGGGATGATTTTTCCCTACAATCCAACCCCGTGAGGGTTCTTCCCGCTGGAGCCGTGAGGAAAGGGGCGGATAAACCCCCAGGGACGCGGATTTTTGGGACAAAACTCCTGTTTTTGGGGCTGAGGCTCCCAGCGGCCGGGATCCCGGGATTTTGGCAGGGACGATCTGCTCCGAGCCATCCGGAAGCTGAAGGTGCTGGGCAGCGGCTTCGGGATCATCCCGGTGGGAGGAACGGTCCTGGTGCAGTCGGTGCCCGCCGAGCTCAGCATGGACCACACGGTGCTGCTGCAGCTGGCCGAGGTGGGAATGCTGGGAATGCTGGGAATACTGGGAATACTGGGA